CGAGAGCTGCTAAAATGTGCTATTGACTCTGTTGCGGAATCGCTTCTGGCCATCTTTCATTTGGTGTGGAGAACTGGAACCTGGCCAACCTCCTGGAAGGACGGTATTGTGATCTCACTTTATATGGGCAAGGGACCACGCAGTGAATGTCAGAGCTACAGCCCGATCACCTTGTTGTCCATGCCAGGGAAGTTGTTTGTGCATGTTCTGCTGGCGCGTTTGGAGCCCCTGCTACATCAGAAGTGTTGCCCCCAACACTCAGGCTTTATGAGGAACAGGTCTAATTAGATGCCATTTTGGCCCGCTGCTTGTTGTTGGAGATACACCATGAGTTCAGGAAGCCCCTGCATGTAGCGCATGTCGATCTTAAGGCTTCGTTTGATTCAGTTGACTGAGTCACACTATGGAAGGCCTTAAAAGAGGTAGGTTTCCCAATCGCTCTGCTGGACTTGATTTGCAAGCTGCATAATGGAACCACTGCCCGTGTACATTTGGGGAATCGGATATTGGCACCTTTTAAATCAGTATCTGGTGTCTTGGCCCCTGCACTCTTTTGTCAGGCAATGGATTTCATAATGCAGTATTCTATCAGGTCCATAGGCATTAAGATAGGTGATCTCTCACTCTCAGACCTTGACTATGCCAATGATGATGTTCTTCTAGTACAGAGCCCCGACAGGTTTCATGAGGCACTTCAGCAAATGGAGGAAGGGTTGGCTTCCATGTTTTGTGGTCAAAGACAAAGCTGCAAAATCTAGGACCAAGTCCACCCGTGACTCCAATCTCTTTGAATAATGAAACTGTCAAAACAGTCCCCAGCTTTTGCTATTTGGGGTCTATACTCACCAGTTCATTCCAACTCTCACACGGAGATTCTCCATCAGATGGGCATCATAGCGTCTGCCAAGGGGCCTTTACAATGAATATGGAATCAACATCATCTCAGAATGACAACCCAGTTCAAGATCTATTTGAGCTGTATCCTTTCCATACTGTTGTACGGTTGTGAAACAGGACACTGTGCAGCTCAGACTGGGCAAAGCTGGAGGCTTTCCACACAAAATGCCAACATTATATATTGGGCATAAAGTGGAATGACTTCATTTGTAATGCAGATGTTTACGGTCGCGCCAGCCTACAGCCTACTGGGACCATTGTCTTACGCTTTTCGGACATGTCGCAAGAATGCCCCAAGACATTCTAGTGACCACCATTCTCAAATGGCTTGTAACATCTGGAATAAAATTCCACCAACTGGGGTGTGGAGGTGGCCCAGAAGCAGACCCCTTATTACATCGGTTCATCAAGTCTGTTCCGATGTTGGACTCTCGGGCTCTCAAGCCCTTACAGTCACACAGGAATAGACCAAACAGTGAATGATCACTACAGCTGACTGTTCCACTAAGTGTTGAAGAACAAGAAGAATTCTAGATTCATTCAGATGCATCAGGAGGAATAAGTTTGGGAGAATTTTACCGAGGCAGGTGGTGTGCCCAGAATGGCCTTCAGATTCACTACAGAAATATATAGTAGAGAGTATAACATTCCTGGAATTCTTTCCCATTTTGGTAGCTATAAGTATTTGGGGAACGGATTTTGCAAACAAAAGTGCATTTTTGGAGTGACAACATGGTGATGGTACATATTCTCAATCGCCAGTCCTTCAGATCACCTAAGGCTCTGAAGTTGGTAAGAGCTTTTGTACTACAGTCTTTAAATCTTGACATATGGTTTTCTGCCAAACATGTTCCCAGGATCAATAATGAAATAGCTGATGCATTGTCGTGATTTCAGGTGGATGAATTTCAGGACCTAGCATCCTGAGCTAACGAAGAGCCAGAATGGATGCCAATAGCATTCTGAAACCTTGACGTATGATGGAGTAGTACAGAGATTGGTAGCACCACAGCCGTTTATGGCTGATGGCAGGAGTTTTTAACAATTTTGTGCAATTTCAGAGGAGGGGGAGAGCCTGTCAATGATATCACTTATTCTGGAAGATCAGAAACTTCAGTACATTGTGTCTGGCAACCTGTGGGCTGGCATCTCTGGTCCCTTCTCAGGCCTTACATTTGTCAGTAGAATAAGGGGTTACCCAGATCCGTGTAGTGGGTTCATAGTTTGAAGGTTTTTAGTAGCGTAGCCTCAAGACATGGGCCCCAGAGAGGATTGCTGTGGTCTAGTCACTGTTCAGATGCTTGGGGATTTGGTGCTATTTCTCATCCAAATATGCAGAAGCAGACAGGAGTCAGCCTTGTTCAAGACTGCATTCCTGGTAGTTTTTTGGAGCTTTTAGAATGAGTGAGCTAGTGCTTGGGTCAGTGTGGGATACTTTGAAATGGGCTTTGGACTGGAGGAATTTACAGTGGGAGGTATAATCAGTTGTCTTGGCCTGAGGATATTCAAAACCGTTCAGGGGATGAGGTGAGTCCATCATACTGCAGGAGGGGAATGAGGCCAGAATTTGCCCACTAAGGGCTTAAATAGAGAAGAGACCGATTGGAGAGGGCCCCCTCTTTATTCTTGGTGATGGAAGGCCCCTCGCAACATACCAGCTTGTTAGTTTTCAGAAAAGGGCTTTTAGAGTTGACATTACTGGTGCATAATTTGGTCCCCACTCATTCCAGAGCAATGACATTCAAATGCATATGGGACATATGTGAGACCCCAGGTAGAGAATCTGAACTAATTTACTGTTTCCAATTTCAGAATCATGCAAATGGACCAAGCAAGCAGTAGTGTGGATCTGTAGGTACAATATTGTATATTAGATGCACAAGTAGGCTTTCAGGTCATCTGGCAGTTCATATCTGTGTCTAGGTAGGGTGGCAGTCCTGAGCTAATGTGGATGGCAGAGCATGCTATGGGAACAGTTGATGCCCCTTGTATACTCTTTGGCAGCCCAGGAGCAGAAACTGATTGCAATTATTGTTCTCTTCGTTGAAAACTATTTGTGAAGGCGTAAGGGGGTTGAATTGATGCTCAGAGTTAAGGGGGATGTGGTGCAGATCCAGGAGTTGATCCCCTGGGTGACAATTATTTGGTCTGACATGTTGCAATGAGGATATAGAAGGGGGCCATGAATCCTCCTTGGGTCAATATAACGGGGAGGTATGTGAATAGGGAGGTGGCTAAATTCATATGTAAGCAAGGGAGTTTGATAATTTCTCATTGGGACATATCTTAGTGGCACCTGAATTATTCAGGGAAAATTGAGTACACCTGTTTCTCTAATATTAAGGAAGGAATCAGTCAATATCTAGGAGCCTGTCAGGGACAGGGTGGGAGGAAGTAGCCAAGCATAAATGTACTCGTTATGTTAGGGATATGGTTATTGGATAAAAAGGATTGGAAGGGAAGCATCACTTGAGAGCTGAGTAAAGGGGTTTTGGGGGCTCCGAAGTCTGCTACAGTGCGGAGCTGACCACCCTTTTTTTTTCTATTCCCCCTTAAGGCTGATACAGCAGGGAGTGGCCCTTCCTCCTTTTATAGCCCCCTTTTATCACATATGAGGGGAGGATGGTGGGGGTCCAGCAATAGGATGGCTGGAAGCAGGTTGGGCATTAGGTGGAAATGATTTGGGAAATGCCTGCATTGTACTACTTTTTGCCAGGTACTTGAAAATATTTTAAGTGAATAAAATTGCAACCTAATTAAACCATATCCATAGCCTCCTGTCTTTCTTCTGGCATGGCTGGACAATGTTCTGGTATTCTCTTTGGTTTCTTATTTCCTCTTCCATTGGCTTGGTAGCTGCTCTTCAGACTATCCCAGCTGAGTTATATTAAGTATAATTTAAATACTCCTGATTTGTTCATTTGAGAATCTTTTTAAAGCAGAATGATGTGATGGCTAGCTTGTATTTTAATAAAATACATGTTAATGTGGCTCACTGTACAACAGTTAAAACACTTTGAGTTAGTAATTGAATGTCATTACATATACACATCATTGTATGTATACATGAATGCCAATGTGTATATGATATATCTGCAACAATTTTATTGTAATAGAATGTTAAATATATTGTCATGTCTCATATGTGGTATACTAGTCCATTGTAAATTCAGGACTTCTATTAGAAAAACACAGAACTCTTCAAAACTTTGGAAGTGTCTGAGTTAATTTTTTTAAAGCATAGTAGCCCATTGGGCTGCCAAGAAGAAAACTATGGTAAGTTGCATCTATAAAATCAACAGATGTTCAAGATTTTGAGTACTTCTGTAGTTTGTCAAGTCAGTAGTTCTGCACACACTGCCAACTGATCAGTAATTAACATGGCTATACATCGTATCTTTACACAGTATATATATCTAGTGCCTTGTCTATTGTTTGTATTTGTGTACAGTGCCTATTGTATTAAAAACTGTTGGTTACAGTTTGTAGAATGTTCTAATATGACATTCCTGGGTGCTCCTCCATGCTTTTGAAAATCAGGCCATGTATTTAGGTGCCTAAATATGGACTTATGAGCCTAACTGTAGGCCCTCATTTTTAACACTCTTGACCAAGTAAACCAGCACAACAGTGCTAACACTTATTAAACTGGCATATCTTGTTTAAAATGCATGGTAAGAGTGTGATGGAAAGGTGGAACATGTGTGCGCTTATACGGTGAGGCAATGATATTTCATTACTCTTCTTGCTAAACTGCAAAATACTAAAGAATTTGGATGATTTGTTTTTAAAAGAGCAAGTTTGCCAAGCAAACTTATTCTTTCTTTGTCCAGAGGAATTATTAAACGTATTTTCCTTCCTACTAGTTTTCCTTAAGCAGTACTAATGCTGAACCAAACTAGTTCACTAAAAAGCTGCTTCTGCTAAACTACTTACAGAGATGATCTAGCTTTCTTAGACTATTAATGAACTTTCATCACTTGCATGTAAGGATGTTCTCTGGAATGCCTGATTTCTCTCACTTTTAATGCAATGATTTGTGACTTTTGTTTCTCATCTTTCCTGTCTGTTTGACTCTTGTGTTTGTGCTTTCCACTTCACAGGCATGCAGTATGGTGGATATGTTAATAATCAAGCTAGCTCTGCACCAGCTCCCTTGTCATCAAGTTCAGATGATGAGGAAGAGGATGAGGAGGATGAGGAAGCAGGTCTGCTTTAGCTTTACACCAGTATATTGCTTTTTTTCTACCCAAGTTTTGTCTTCGTATTTCCACCCTGAATTATTAAAATTAAAAATTTAAACCCAAAAGTAGTTGCGAGTCTTCAGAGACCTAGCAAGCTAAGGGAAAATTTCCAACTCTTTTATGAATATGGTAGTTAAAATGGAGTGTAGTAATTGGCAATTGTTCAGTACAAAGTTTTTTTTCCCCCTGAGGTAACATGCATCTTCGTATTTTGTAGTGTAAAGGTTGCACTTTATGAGGTTGTTTTAATTTGAGTATTCTGACTTTCAGCAAACTTGTAATGTTCTAATGGAATGTGTCTGGATGTAGAGCTTTTGGATGATTGGTTTAGCTCTGGTACGGCTATACATGTAGATGTTTTACCACCTACGATAGTTAAATGTATCAGTTATTTTTTGATATTTCTCCTTCTAAGTATAGGAAACATTGTAAATACTGCAGGAAAGAAACATGTTGTAATGTGGTAAATATTATTTTTAAGGCAATAACTATATACGGAACCTGTCCTGTGTTTCTCTAGTACTGTCCAGTATCAGGAAAGACAAGTCTGTTTAGTTTTAGGAGACAGAGAAAGGAAAATAGTAAAAACTCCTGAGGTACTCTCAGTCTAGTGACTTAAGCTCAAGATCATCCTCTCTCTCCTTTTCTGATATGCCAGTGACCAGTATGATAGAGATATCACCAATGTCTCTTGGCATGGCTTTTTGGAGGATAATCTTTATAAAGAAAAATATAGATCTCTGAGAAAGTAATTGCCATGTTTCTGTTGGCCCACAAGTAGTTCAATCTTCACAGTCTATTGCAAAATGATAGACCTTTGGAATTCCGCACACTTCAAGAAAGTTCTGCCCCTCTCCACTCAACCTTTGTTGTGATATTTCATTTCCTTTAAAAAAAAAAATGTAACAGAGTATTGTATTTGTGCAATTTCATAATGGAGCCTTAATTATGTGTAATAGAGTATTTGTCCACAGGTACTTACCTGAAAGTATTTAGGGTGGCAGATAAAGTGAGACCAAAGCTGTCCTCCCTTTTTCTTGTGGGGTCTTGACCCTGCTTGTCTTTATGGATTCTCTTTCCCCAAACCCTGGTGGATAATTTAGAGAGATCACTTACTTTGAAAACTGTTTTTCTTATGGCAGTTTGTTTGGGTAGGATTGTTGGGAGTTTCAGGCTTTTCACTGCAAGGATCCATGTTTGTTTTTTATCAGAATGGTTTAGTTTCAAAACTAGTTCCATGTTTTCTGATAGTTCCTCAGGTCATGATAGTTTCTCAGGTCGCTATTTATTTTTCTTGCTTTGCATGAACCCTAAAAGAGAAGTAGATCTACAGCCTTGATGGTGAGGAGAGTGCTAAATATCTCCTTTAAGAGAGCCCTCTTGAGAGAGAAAGATATGTAGCCATTGATTCATCCTACTGGTAGACATATGCAACCTCTTGTATGGTGTACTACTGAGTGTGCTGTTGGTATTGAGGATTATTAGGAAGTCCTACTGTTTTAAAAGTGGAAGATGCTTCAGGCTCAATTTAGGCTTATTTCATAAGGACATTCACTGCTTTGGGAGTAGAGAGAATGGTTACTTCTCTGGAACAATGTACAGGAGCCACATTTCGATGCTTTTACCAGTCCTCATAGCCTTGACATACGGCTCCTGTAACTGCCTCTTTTGAAAAATGTGCTCGGCAGGCTGTTACTCATGAAAGTTTTACTCAGCTGTTGTATGCTGTGTAGAAGTTTTTCTGCAGTGATTTAGAAGGATATTTTGAGAATAATTTCTTGCATCTGATTTGTTTCCTTGTGTCTTACACCAGCTCATTTATCCTGCCCATTGAGTTCAGTTGGAGGATGCTTTTCATACGTTTTTTGTTCAGAAAGCATTTAACCGAACAGCAAGATGTGTTCCTAGAGAGTTCTCTTAACAAAAAGGCATACCTAGAGTAACGTTTTATCCCCCTCCTCCAAAGAAAAAGATTGGTCTTGCAATCTAACATGTATAAAAAAAATGCTAATTTTTAGCATTTTGCAGAGGCCAGCATCTATTTCTGAATGAAATTAAGTTAATCCATTTAGTCTTCAGAGTTTTTGAAAATTAAAATTGAATAAAAGCAGAATTCAGGTTTGTTGATGAACGATCTTAAATGAAACCTTTATCCTACTTAATTTTAAATTAAGTTTATCCATATGTTATTTTATAAATCTGAGGAATGTTTTCTGCTAAATTGTTCCTCATAACAGTTGCTCTCTGTGTAATCTGATTCCCTAGTTTGTTACCTACTTAGAAGTGGTGCTGAAGAAAGGTTGTAAAATATGTATAATTATGTTACTAGCATGATCAGTTTTTTAACCAATAATATTTTTACATTGGTCATTAGATGTTCATTGTAAATTTTTTGTCAAGATTAAGAAAGGATAAATTTAGACGATTACTCTCACAAATAGCACTACTTAACTCTAGGCTCACTGCTTCTTTTGACTTCAATGGGAATAGAATTGGACCCTCTATCACAGGGGTACTCAAACTGGGGATTGGGACCCCTCAGGGGGGTCACAAGGTTATTACTTGGGGGGTCGCAAGCAGTCAGCCTCCACCCCAAACCTTGCCTTGCATCCAGCATTTATAATGGTGTTAAATATATAAGAAACTGTTTTTAATTTATAAGGGAGAGTTGCACTCAGAGGCTTGCTATGTGGAAGGGGTCACTAGTACAAAACTTTGAGAACTACTGCTCTATCACTTCAAGCAGAATAATACCATTAAAGCCCTGGCAACAAAATGTCACTTTATTTTGCTGATATTGCATGTAGGGAACTTTAATAGTAGGTTTGTTTCTTAGATTTCACTGTATTCAACTAATGAGTCAGAGATACAAAACAGATACTTCCTTGTGCAACAAGTATACCACTACAGTGGTAGAAATCTGGTTGCGAAAGTGTCTCAAATTCCAGCTGCAGTGATTGCAGAACAAACCACAGAACCTGACGGCAACATTACAGTTCATGGTATCGACAGCATTTTGTGTATATTGTACTGATGGTTATCTTGTACACTGGTGTTCGAGTCACTTAGTACATGATACTGGAAGAGTCAGTAATGTGGAGGGAACTCTGTTACTAATATGTAAGGTATACAGAGAAATCAATACTATTATCCTGATTCAGCAAGATAAGTGACTAAATTTAAGCATGTGAGGATTCCTATTGAAGTCAAATAAATGTGTAAGTACCTTGCTGAATCAGAGCCCAGTCATAGGTTGGTATCAGTAAAATGCAACGTGTCAGAATAATAGTATGGAGTAGTGCAATCAACAAAATATGCCTTGCAATGGGGAAAAAAAATCTGTAGACCCCCTCAGAATTCTCATATACGTTGGCACTCTGATGAATTTTTCAGGGGGTAGGGACAGTACATAAACGATCTTCAAGGTGATGGGGTCAAACGTTTCTCATAGGATATGAGGAGTGGTATTCTTTTCATCACATTAGACTTAGTAGAACTGTTACACAGAGAACCTGAGATGTTTCTCTCCAACTATAATCCTCTTTCATACTGTATCTTTCTCCCAGAGTTGGCCTGGAAAGCTTTTGTAGAAGAAACCAAAAATAATTCAGATTTAATTACATTTTTAGTGTGACACTGGGAAGGAAAAAAAAGTTAACATTTGTGCTTCCAAGCTGTCATTCATCTCTCAAAGATCTTCACGCTATACTTTGGAGATATGTACTTTGACTTCATTATATTCATTAAAAATATATATTTTAATTTCTGCTTCATAGCTATTGATTTTATGCCAGCACTATTTAATTAGAGTGCTACACCTTGAAATATATATTTTTCATGCTTTAGCCAAAGTTTGCATAGTAATCATCTTTTGCTATGCATTCATTAAAGTAAAGCTTTGACGCGTCTGTGCTTTATTCTGCCATATAGTCTGATCATTACATAATCACATCTTAATGAGTGACTAGTGCAAATTGATTTGATATCTGATTGATAGTGTGGATTGATGTAATAAATTTTATGGAATCCAATTTACTGTTGAATAAATGAGAAATATTTTCTACAACTAACCTGTGACATCAGAACATTCACAAAACTTGACCTACCTTAAAATGGTTATAATTGGGTAGTAGTCTCCTCTTTGTGTGTGGTTTGTTTTTGTTTTTGTTTTTAAGTAAAACCATCTTTCTTGTGCAAGAACATACATTCATTTTTAAAAAATTCCTACATCTATACCTACCATATTTTGTTGGGCGTGGAAATAAGCTCCCCTTTTGGCTTTTAATTAGCATTGTTTAACCAAACTTACAGAAGCTATGCTGCTGCTGAATAAACAAAAATCTTGTTTGCTTCAGCTCCTAGGATTTTTCACCTGATCGGGGAAAAAAGAGAAAACTTGGTAGGGAAAGAAATGTTGGTTTTCAAACTCATAAGTGAATATAACAAAGGAAGGTGTTTACTAAGTTCACAAGTTTATTTTAAATTAATACTGTACTTTAAAAAAAAATTACATTTTTTTAAAGAGGGAAGTAAAACTTTGTTCCTAAGAGTAACTGATTTTGAATGTTGAGTTTAAGCCTTGTTTTACAGCCTAGTTAAAAACTTCATAGAAATAGTTATCATTGAAATGCCGAAGTAATCGTTACCATAGTGGTGTCTCCATGTTACTAGTAATATTGTCTCCCAGATGCATTTCACTCTGCTCCTATGCATGGAACACTTTCCCCATTCAAGTTTGCTAAGCCAGCATGCTCTCCATTAATGTCTTCCTGAAACCCACTTTGGCTTCACTAGGAAGGATGAGTTGTAGTAGCTGATAACCTTGAGGCAGCAGTGGAGGAATCTCTTGAGGCCTTCCATCCTGTCTCTCCCATCCACAAAAATTGTATGTGGCTTTGTTTTGTCTGAACTCTTACATGTACTATTTTTTTTGTGTTGCATTTTGTGACCTGTAGTTCAGATACCAGATTTCAGCAGCCAAAATTATCCATTGTGTTTTTGTTTCTAATGAGCAGGCATACAAAGTCTCTCTACTCTGTCCCTTTCTTGTGGCAAATGTATATGAAACTGCACTAACATGCTTTTAAAACATTTACTTATTTTTACTTAATGTATTACAATACAGATAATCAGTTAAATAGAGAATAAGTATGTGGCACTAGGAAAAATTATGCATTAGTAGTCTACGCAATTAAAAAAAATTACTCTTTACTTGACTTATTTTATTAGTGTGTTTAGGTATGCCTTTTGGCTACATCAGATTTTCCTCTGTTACGGCTAAGGCAGAAAACTTTAATAAGCAATATTCAGTAGACCGTGTGTTAGAGCTTTTGCATTTAACAATAAAACGAGCCATTCTTTATTACAACAGCATAGGGAGGGACGTTGGAAAATTTCAGATGAAAAGATTACTTCAAAACGCGCTCTCCAGGACTCTCAATTTAGGCAAAACTCCCTTTGAAGACCATTGAAAGTCTTGCATGATATGGGAGTGCTAAATGCTGCCATTGAGCCAGTATAAATAGAAATGCTTTAAATTACCTGAATTCTTTTAGATTAAAAAGAATTTAGAAATGGTTGTCTAAAAACCTCTTTGAAATAAGAAGTCATTTTAATTTTATTTTTGTCCTTATCCATTTGTTGCTTTTTCCATATTTTCTGAATACCAAATTGCCTACATTTAGGTATGATCTATGTGTTTTCTAATAGTAATAACTTTGTTGGATTCTTAGTACAATATTTTTCCTGTATCTCTTTAACAGTTTCTTACCAGAAGTTTAAGTAACAATGTTCTCTGAAGGCCTGTCCTCACAGAAGCTTGCCATTGCTTAAAGCAAATCTTTGTTTTATTTTTAGCTATTGACAGCTCCTCCACTACTAGCAGTGCCTCTCCTGTTATCAACAATTATGATGCCCTTGAAGGAGGTGGCTATCCAGGTGAGCCCTTTGTTGCATGTTAATTCTGAATTGTTGTTGTTAAGGTATAACAAAACAAAAAAATGTTACTTGTATAATATACGGTTCTAGGTTTTCAGGTTGTTCTTTTTTAAAAACATCACCCATTTCCTCTTACTCTAGATTCCCTGTAATCCCATCATGGATTCCTGCTTATCCTTACTGCCTCCCTTTCAGTCATCAGCAATGAGACATCCATTAAATTATAAAATGTGTGATTCACAATTCAGCTGGCTTGTTATTACAAAACATTTATATAGCACTATAGAGTTGAGTAGCATTTTACTCATGTCAGCTTTGATTCTTTCTTGTGGGCACCCCCTACTTGAGATAATTTACCTTTTTTGGGGTGAATGAGGGTGCCAGGTTTAAATTTCTCTGCAACCATCCCCAGCCTCTCTGGCCTTGTACACTTTCCCGGCTTGCACAGGCCAACGCTTGTCCCTTAGGGTGGCTGTTGCAGGTGACTTGCACTGCCATGCCTCTACTCCAGGTAGACCACCTAGCCGCTATTCATCCTGGCAGTAGATGATAGTTTAAGGTATATTGTTCCACATGTTAAAGTTGCTCAACTGTTGTGCCAGTTTCAAAACTGCTGTTTTTTCCCCTCTGAGATCTATTGAGACATCTCAGTCCATAATCAGTACGCTATGCTTCTGTTTCTTGTCCAGTCTACCTCTCCTTACCACTTTGTAACAAACTATCTGAATAGTAGCTGCATGCTACAAATAACTCAGCCTTTTAAAACGGTTGGGCCATATTTTGGCCTTGGATACACATGCGGGGCTTACATTGACTTCAACAGAAATCCCATGTACACCCTTGCAGACAGAATTAGCCTCTTAATAAAATTTAGAAATCTCATCATGGGTGACTAAGAGAGGCTACAGATCAATAGGTCTTGGTGCAGTTTGCAGGGCAGGGGAGATTTGAGAGCAAGAGCAGTCTTGGGGAAAAAATATAATTAAGGGGATTTTATTTTTTATATTTTTGCAATTTATTTACTCTTACCTTTCTATTAAAAAGGGGAAACTTATAAAATGACATTATGAAGTTCCAATTGCTTAGTAGATAAGATGCATTTAATTAAATGCGGAGGAGAGTTAGAAGACAAGTAGGGTAGAGGTAGAGTTAGACAGTGCTCCCCAACCTATTGCCCCAGATACTAACAGTGAGAGAAACTTTTTTCTGCTGTTTTACAATATCCATTTGGTCAATGCAGAGAAATTTTTGGGTTGTTTCTTTATAATTAACAAAAGCATTATTCTCATGATCAACTGTTGTATTTTGCTTCTTATGTATTTAAATGCAATAGACAGATAATTTAAAAAAATATTTGTTTTCCCTATCCTAGAAACAAATTCTGCGGCAAGTAGTCCAGCTCCTACTCCTCAGACATCAAGGACTCCTAAGCCCTTTGGTTACGGATACCCAACTCTTCAACCTGGATACCAGAATGCAACACCATCTACTTCTGCTATGCAGCCCAGTAATCCAGGGCACCATTCTGGGTTTCAGCAATATCCTCAAGTGAGATTTTTAATTGAGAAATTATTTGATGTTTCTTTTCAATCCTTTTGTAAAGCTTATAGTGATGTGCCTTTGACATAGTTCCCAATAGTCTATTTTAAAAATTAGTACAGTTTTTTAAATTTGAGAACTGTAAATATCGAGCAAGTCTGAATATTGATGTAGTAGCTCTAAATTCAAAATAATGAATGAGATGGCTACTTGAATTATTGGGGAGAGGACCAACAAATTGCTGTAGCCCATGTAATTACTTGTTAACTTTTAGTTAAAAAATAAAATAAAATTTAATTTAATATTTTAAGCTTTTATTAAATTGTTATTTTTGAAGGAGAAAGAAACTGAAGATTTATTATAGTTAAACATTTAATAAAGAGGAAGACCAGTAATTTCCCAATATACAATCCAAATTTCCCATTGATCTGCATACAGCAGTACTAGATGACAATATACCCAAAAGAGAGTACTACTTCACTTTGGGGAATGCAGATTGGTTAGTATAAGTGAAAATTCTTCTAAAGGAAAAGGAAAGCATAACTCTGTTTAACCTAATGTTTCCCTTTCTGTGCTTGGTTCATAGTCTTAACCCCTCCATACTTTATTAATAAAAGACAATTGGGCATTCACCTGGAAACTAAGAGCCAAAGAGATGTTTTTTAAAAGCTGTTTTACAACCTTCTTTGTGATAATACTACGGTTCCTTGACTTCAGGCTGTTATGGGTAATGAAATTGAAGCATTTTTGAATTTTAAAAAATCAAATTTGATTAGGTTTTTGTTTTAAATTGAGAGAGCTTTTACAAATACTTATTTAAAATAATCTTTCTAAATGCTACAGAAACAAGGGAATGCACAATGTGGTCTGAGGTTTACCCCGGATTGAAGAGAGAAAATAGAACGTATAGCCCGGGGTCAGCAACCTTTCAGAAGTGGTGTGCCAAGTCTTCATTTATTCACTCTAATTTAAGGTTTCGCGTGCCAGTGATACATTTTAACGTTTTTAGAAGGTCTCTTTCTATAAGTCTATAATATATAACTAAACTATTGTTGTATGTAAAGTAAAGAAGGTTTTTAAAATTTTTAAGAAGCTTCATTTAAAATTAAATTAAAATGCAGAGCCCCCTGGACCAGTGGCCAGGACCCAGGCAGTGTGAGTGCCACTGAAAATCTGCTCGTGTGCCGCCTTTGGCACCCCTGGTATAGCCTGTTTTTCTGGTTTGGAAAAGGAAAAAAGTGAGCTCTTTTGAAGAGGGGGGACGATATCAGTTTTCTTGTAATATCTGAGCTGATTTACCTCTAGGTTTCTTTAGACAATGTTGAATAAGAGCATCTTGAAAATGAGGATTATGCACCTCCTGTAAAATTATCTTTTATGTTGACTTCATGCTGTAGACTGAATGTTATTCAAAGAAGTATATGCTAAGATTCTGGGAAGCATTGTCCACTTGTGTAACCCTTTAAAATTACAAGTCTCTTCTCATCGGCAAACGATTATTAGCTACTGCTATATCTTCCTTAATGGTGATCTGAAAGAATAGTGTAATGAATTAAGTTTATGTTCATTAAACATATAGTATAACTGTTTTGCAATGCTCTTTTTTTTTTTTTCCAGCAGTATCCTGGTGTGAATCAATTATCATCCACCTTAGGAGGATTAAGTCTACAGCACTCTCAGCAGCCAGAAAGCTTGAGACCAGTAAACCTTACACAAGATAGGAATATTCTTCCTGTTTCTCCAGTTCTAGCTCCTGTGCCTAATTTGAATTCAGACCTTAGAAAATTAAATTGCAGTCCAGAGTAGGTATACTATTTTCAGTTTTGGGTATATTAGACATAGCATTTTTCTGTGACATTTCATAATTTAGTTAAGAATAATAAAAAAAATTATAAAGGATGAAATTGACCACAGTATTCTGCTTTCACTGGTCAACCAGTGTAGTCTGTTTCCTCTGGAGAGAAGAGGTTAAGTCCTCTTCACTTCTGTGTGAACACTGAAGCTGTTTCTAATTTACATCTCCTGCCATCAATGCTTAGCATTATGGCTACCATTCTTAGGGCAACTAGATGAGACCATTTTAGAGTCTACCGGTATTGTTGCTTTATGTTTGGGGAGGTCACTGTTGAGTAACTTATGGTATTCCTTTCTAGTGGAACAACATACCATTCTCACCTCAAGGCCCTGACATTCTAAAATCAAGAGAACATTTTATAAACTAGCTATTGAAACAATCTTCATGAAACTTACCATAATAAGACTAGGCAGCATTCTAATTCCAACTCTACCACTGATTTGCTTTTGGCATTGAGCAAATCACTTAACCTCTATTTGCCTCATTTTATTCATTTATTAAAATCTATTTACCATCATTTGTGGTGGTCACAAAGACAAATTGAGATCATTTGCAAAAGCAATAAACTTATAAAAATCAAAAGTACTCCGTTTCTGATATATTTTTTTTAAGTCTGGAATTTTCAAAAGCACCCAGCATCGGCATAACTGCTCCCAGTAAAGTCATTGGCAGTTTTACCATTGCCATCAGTGGGAGCAGAGTTCAGCCAATGATGAGCACTAAAAAAATCCCTCTCACTGTATGTGACTAGTGATCGGTGTCAACACTGGAAGGTCTGTTATTTAAATATAACCTCATAATCTTAAAGCTGGGCAAAAGTCTAAGGAAAGAGATCTGTTTTACACTGTGCCCTAACAGCCCAACAGATGTGGTCTCTGGGAGACCAGTGGAAGAAACAAGTTTCAAATCGAACTTCCTTATGGTGAGAATGTCTTGGGATTCAAATCAAGGGACTAGAAGGGAAAGGATCCCAACTGATTTCAGCTGCGATGGTAGCACTTTAGGAGAGAGGCAGTCTTTCAAGTAGCCAGGACCCAGAACCTGAATGACTTTATATTTCAGTCTAAGTATGTTGGCTTGCATCTGAAGCAAATAGGAACCTACAGTCATGCAATCTTTGGAAATTTTATGTAGTCTTGCCTTGCCAGTCACCAGCGTGCAGCTTTTGAAGGATGTGCCAGGCACACTGCAATAATCCAGCCATTTGTATGTCAGTAGTAGAGACATTATGATTATTATGATTAAACATTTAAATTGTAGTAGTGCATAAAGGCCTCAACTAAGTTGCCAGGCACGTGCAAACAAGGAAAAAGAGTCTGCTCCAAAAAGCTTAGTTGTAATGCTGAAAGAAGCTTTAATCCAGTAGGTAAATTTGGGTCAGCTTGGTGGACTAATGACAATGTATTATTTTGTGAGCAGGAGGGAAATTAGAGTGGGTCATATTCAGTCCCACGTCTGGAGCACTTTGGAGGCAGTACTCCTCTTCTGGACTCCTTATGTGTGTCTGGAGCTATTCCCCTTTGGTTACTATATTGGGTGGCATTAATAAGTTTTTAGGAAGTCTCATCCGTTCCACGTCCATCAGAGAAGAGTATGACTCATAATTCTTTGTGGGAGGGAAACATTAAGATCTTCCTATATTCCCTCTCACATTAAAATAACTTTTCAACAAATAGCAAGTACAGTTTTCCTTTAGTGAGTTCTGAGATCAGAAATATTTATCATGAATGAAAATACCATCTCAAAGTTTAAATTACTTTGGGTACTAGACCTCCCCCCATTGTTTGTTCTTTTAAAAACTCAATAATAGCTCCAGTATGCATTTCCTGTTGAAATGCAATACTTTCAGCTTTTCATTTTGTGCCGCACTTATACTTAAATATTATCCTCTCTGGAGGAGACTTTTGCTGTTTTGGGCGATGGTTTCTGTTTACTTTGAAACTAGGTTTAGTAATATTTAAAATTTAACAACTCTTTGAATTGCAGAGAATATGGTTGCATGCTAATACAACGTATGTGTTCAAGTTTGCTTTGCAAGCTAATTTTTGTCTGATTTCTTTCCAGTTCATTTCGATGTACACTGACAAATATTCCACAGACTCAGGCTTTGCTAAACAAAGCTAAACTTCCCTTGGGATTGCTGCTGCATCCGTTCAGAGACCTAACGGTAAAATTTAAATATTTTTTATTTTGAATATCTTCTCATAGTGCTTTGCTTTTTTACTGTGTGGTACTTTCTTATCTTGTCTAAGCCTTATTGAGGATTAAATAATAGCAGGAGGTGTGGAACTATTTTCAAGTAGAATTTCTATTCAGCTTGTCTGTTCAGGTGTTTGTTCTTTGATATAGTCAAATTTTGTTTGTTTCAAAATTCTATCTTAAATGTAACAGGATGAACTGATTCAGTTACTGTAAGATAAAAATTATGGCTGTAAATCTTTCATCCTTTTTTTTTTTAAATGAAACGTAGCATCTAATAAGCTGAACAAGGTTGTTAGAGAAACTATACAAATTGCAACAATTAAGGCTTTTACGTACCTTTAGTGTGGTTGGAGTGGTTCAGGCAAAATTATCTTTTTTGTTTGTTTTTATTTAAAGCTTCATCAGAGTGAACAGCTTACCTTGGTATTTTTTAAATGTCATGTCTTGTGCTCTATGCCTGCATACATTGATTGTGCCTCTTAATTTAATAGCTATTTGAAGTTTTGCCTCTTGACTTCTTAATTTATTAAGTGAAACTTGAACTAGAGGGAGAGATCTGAAAGATTCCACCCCTTCCAGGAATCTCTTCTCAACAAGCACAACTGATCAGATTCTGGGGAAGCAGGGCAGGGATCAGCTCCTCCTATTTCTCTGGTTATTTTACAGTATTCAGCACTAAGATGTTAGAGTAATTTGCATAGCCATTTGCCAATCTAGCCTATTTATTCATGATATTCCTAAGGAAGACGGGGAGAACTGCTGAAGTGGTGGTCATCTGACTTTCCTCTCTGGAGGGAATGAAATCTTTCAAATTGCTCCGTCCATATCCACAGAGGACCTCCTTAGTAGATGAGGATCAGAAGTCCAGAGGAGTCTATTCCCCATTAACTGCAAGAATGACTGCTGCTGTTGCAGAATGGGATGGGGTTTTAGATAATTCCGAGGAGAGGAATTAAATAACAGACAGGCAATGCTCAAATAACAGAAAAAGATGGTCTTTTGTTCTAACAGTGCTGTTTCAAAAGTGCTACTGTTTCATTTCATCCACTCTCTCTAAACAAGTTCAAAAATACATAATACACTATACAAGTATTTACAGTATACTATATTTTTCCTTTTGTAAATTTAATCTAATTTCTACAGATACTATGTTAAAAATAAATCTGTGCTTGAGAAAGTGTGCACACACATTAAGCAACTCTTGTCCTTATTAACTTCTTATGAAAACCTATAGCTCTCTCTGTATCATGCCCTCACTCCAAGATGTACAAGTATTCCTGCATAACTTAACTTCAACTGTGTTATTGCTTAGCTAGAATTACAATAAAAAGATTGCTGATCTGACCCTTGCAATCACAGGGATCAATCAGATTCCTTTTATCCAACTAAATATATTAATGTCCATTATCAGACCAGATTCTTCTCTCCAACATTTTGTGGACAAGTATAACACAATAGACTTAAATGAAATTACTCATGATTTACACTGGTATATGTGAGATCAAATTCTGGTTCGGTCAAAATAATACTTTATTATGTCTTCCTATTTTAAAGAGAGAATGTAAAGGTGTGAATATTGCACTGTATATAAATGAGCTAAAAGGACTAAGTGGGAGACAAGATTAACAGAATCTTTTGGTTTTATGAAGCTTTCAGAGATTGAGATATTGCACAATCCTGTCCTCTCAAAATTTTTCTAGGATCCTCTTTGCTACAGCTTTTCATTATTTTACTTTTTAGCAATTACCTGTAATAACATCAAGCACCATTGTGAGGTGCAGATCCTGCAGGACATATATCAACCCTTTTGTTTCCTTCATTGACCAAAGGAGGTGGAAATGCAACTTATGCTATCGAGTTAATGATGGTAAGTTTCATTACAAAGGTAAGTAGCTGGTTTCTTGCAGCTACCTAATGTATTTAAGATGTCTTGCATTTGTATCAACAACTGAGATGTCTTTCACCTAGAATATCTGGGATTTTTAATATCTAAATCATTTTCCGAAGCACCTATATTTTGCCCAAGTGAAGGCTACCGTGCAACATGTCAGGAGTCTGAGAGCACCATATCAGATTGGACAACCTGAGCTATATAATTTAAAAGCAGTTTCCCCCACTGACTGCTAGCATAATACACAATCAAGTCAAGGTCATAAGTAACAGCAGTCAAAGACAAAGACCAGTTTCATAAATACAGTGCACGTTGAGACATGTCATTGTAGGGCACTGGAAACACAGAGTATACATATACCTTGTTGTCTGTAAAATAGACATTCTTGTCTCCGATTCTTTAACTTGATGTTTAGGTTTTACAACGCTGATTGGTTCCTTATTTACATACTTTTTAAATGTTTATGGTCTAATTGCTGCTTTTTGTAATTAAAATACATATAATGCAATTAACATTATGTTGACTGTTGCTAATAGGCACAAAATCTGTATATCTGTCAGTGAATAATTTACTTTGGATTCATAATTTTTGTTTAGTTCCTGAAGAATTTATGTATAACCCATTGACACGATCCTATGGGGAGCCTCATAAACGGCCAGAGGTCCAAAATTCTACAGTGGAGTTCATTGCTTCTTCAGACTACATGGTAAAAATATATATTTTTAAGTATGTGAATTTAATACTAGTGCAAGATGCTAGAGTGACAACCCTATTTACCACTAAAAAGTGTGTACATCACTCGCATTTCAAACTTCCCCACAGTGCCCTACCAGTGTGCCTCAGTTTTCACTTAGAGGGACCCCTCGGATTGAAAGACTAATTGTCTCAGTTCCCATTTGAATCTTTCTCTGTCAAAACTGACAGTAAAGGTGTCAATTAATGCCAATTGTGATGTAGGCACCTACACACTAATTTGCCAAAGACCACCAAACTCATTCTGTGCTACAGCAGTTTCTGGCTTTCTCCTTTCCTCTGGAAACATGGGCAGGACCAATGACTGATGAGACAGAAGAATGTTGGCATCTTCCAAAGAACTCCTTTTCATTTCCCAGATTGATTCCTGCTTCTCACGAAATTAACAGCTAGAAAGCAACCTGTAGCCAGTTCAGTATGGAAATGGGGCCTGAAAATCTTTTCGATAAGAGAATACCTAGCTTTCATACATCCTACAGTAGCATTTTGGGCACCATCAACCATGCTTTGCTGACCAGCACTCGGCCGGAAAGTGGAGGTTCCATTGCAGCCTGAGGCAGGTGCTAATAGTGCAACATGTGGAAGCAGCCCACTCAGCCAGCAGCAGTACAGGCAGAATGATAATGCTTTGTGCAAAGAAGAGAGTGTTTCTAAGAGGGGGATATGAAATATTTAGGTGTCGAAGACAGTAATCTATAGAAGGGACTCTGTGATGCCAGCTTCAAAGGCTAAGAAGTGTAAGCACTCATCAGGTAAAAGCCACTCTAGAAGATGATCTATTAAATACAGATCTAGGTCTGGGATTTAAAAGGGAGGGAGTTATTCATTTTTTAAATCAGACTCAAAGTCTAAACTGCTTTTTGTGGCCTTCCAGAGCTGTCAATGTTTCTGACTGTCCCCTTCCCCTATTTTCAGAGAGAGAAGGATCTCTTCCTTTATATTGTAACAGGAAGGGATCATTTCAGACAATTGTTGTCATTTGTGTCCCAGGTTGAATTTAAGCTCTTACCCCCCCCTTCTCAGGGTTGCCATTTACTACCATCCTCCTTTTTCCTCCCCCAGAGGAAGCTGACCTCTGGACAGTGAAATATCTCTTAGATATCAGAGCAATTGTTCAGAGAGCAGCAGCTGATGGGAATTTAATCTAGGTAATTGGTAGTTCCAAAAGGTATAGAGGACAAGATCCACTTTGGATCTGAAGTGGGTTAATGTTCAAGACTCAAATTCAAGATGGAGTCTCTCCAGTCTATATTAGCTGTGATCGACTAGGAGAAATTTCGTTTCTTCAGTAGATTTAAAAGAAGAATGTCTTCATATTTCCATAACATCAAATGTTCACCCTGAACTGGCATTTCTACTACCACTCCCTGCTCTTTGTGCTGGCTTCAATACTGAGGGTGTTTACAAAGGTCATATCTGTGATTGCAGCAGGGGATTCTGTAAGATTCCAAATTTGGTCAGCTGACTTATCATGAAAAGTGAAACTGCAGAGCCTTGGGGGAAATGGCTGAAACTTGGAACATGTTCAAGAACATAGACCTCCTGATCAAGCATGAGAAGAACGCTCTTTGCTTGGTACAGTTTCCAACCTATCTAATGCATTGACAGGTATTGAACAAGGCTGTGTCTTTGCCGAGGAGGAGAGATTTTAAAAACTGAGCTGTTTTTAGACCTGAGCCTGCAATTTCACTGTGCATCTCAGACTGTAGTCTCATTACTCTAGGGCTTGAGGATTGTGTGCTGCAATCTGGTTATGAGGGAAATGTGGCACTCTAGAACAGTGGTTCTCAACCAGGGATCTGAGGCCTCCGGGGGGGGGCTGCAAGTAGGTTTCAGGGGGTCCTCCAAAATAAACCAGAGAGCAGGGCCAGCATTAGACTCGCTGGGGCTCAGGGCAGAAAGCCCAAGCCATGCGGGGCTGAAGCCAAAGCCTGAGCAATTTAGCTTTGCGGAGTCCCCTGTGGTGTGGGGCCACAGGCAGTTGCCCTGTTTGCTACCCCCTTAACGGCAGCCCTGGCTTTTAATCTACTGGATATGCAGACAAACAGTTGTTCTGGCACAGGTGGGATGTGGAGGTTTTTATAGCATGTTGCGGGGGGCCTCAGAAATAAAAAGATTGAGAACCCCTGCTCTAGGACATGCTCAGCAACAATCCCATTAGATCAAGCTCTCACAGAGAGTTTTGGACACCAGGTAAGTGAAACTCTCTACAGTGGTGGAAGCACCAGTACAGGAAAGACCTGTACAAAAACTGAACAGGCTGCATATCACAACTGAGACAAACCTAATAGAATGAGGACTATCACAGGTTCCATATTAGCTCAGACTGGTCTCTGAGAGGAAAAAAGGCCTTTTATGTAACTGCACCTAAGAGGAGTGAGACTGGCTATTTTTGCATTCTGCAAAGAGCAATAGCAAATGTATCCTGATAAACCTCAGACAACTCAGCAGTAGCTGTGCACCTAAATCAACAAGGGAGAAGAAACACTCCCAATTCATATGGGCAGGGAACTTGTTCTCAGCATGAGCTCTGCACATCTTGGATGCTTGAACCTACAATCAGACTGCTTTAGCAGATCTAAAGTGCTCCAATACAAATGTTAGCAACCAGCAGAACGTAACAACCTTGTCACCTCTTTGTGCCATGAAAAAATATTAAATGCAATCAATTCTACAGCAGGTACCCGGAGTAGGACGTTCTTAGCGCATGACACATTATCAGTCTTTGGGATTTCTGTGTAGACTATGTGTTCCCTCCATTTCCTCTCACCTGGAAAGTGCTGGAAATTATTGTGTGATGCAGGGCCCTACTGAGTCTCATACCTCAGGAATAGCCTTGAAAGATGTGGATACTCAGGAGTTAAACCAGCAGACATCTGCTCATATAGTCTTTAGTGGGAGTGTGCTTACAACTGTACTTCCATAAGGGAGTCTCATCTCAGGAGATATATAGTTGACAAAGGAAGAAAAAGATGTCTCTCCTTCTCCCTGTTTCTCCTACCTGCATCACAGGATCTCCTCAGTAACCAGTATTTTATTTTGATTTTGATCCACACCAAAAGGGTATTTGATGATGGAGGGGACAAGTACTAGTTATGTAAATCATCGTGTATGGGTATAGGTTGAGATATACAGGGGTGGAAGTGATAGTGCCTCCTAATAGTGAGTCAGATCTCCTTTTTTTTTTTACGTGGAGAGATAGGTCAGTGGGAATCAAACCAGAGAGTTAAGAGAAGTCTCTCTGGTGCCAAAATCCTTTATTCTGAGTGGTCATCGGGGGGGGGGGGGGGGAGCAAGAAGAAACCCAGGGTCAGTGCTGTATTAACTCAGTTACAGAAAGCATAGCTGCAAATAAATAGGATTAAAATGGTCTTTTCACAAAAGCTACTGAATTTCTATCAGATTGGTTAAATTTAAATTCACCACTAGTCTTTGCTGGATTGGGTCTTATTTTAGAAGTGAAACTCTGTGACTAAGGGGATTAGATTATAGAATTAAATATACACTTAATTATAATTATGGTAGCAATGTAATGCTGATGGCTTATTGTAATTCAGAATAGTAAAATGTGTCATTGTCAGCATTCTGAAAGAACAGTGCCATTTTTCAGAATAAATTCTACAGTTGACATCAAAGGCTTTCCTCTGACCCAGCTGACAAAAGGACAGACTAAGATGTTGATTTTGTTTTCTATGTTAATGATAAACTTAACACAAGTGAGAATTTCTTTTATTTTACTTTGTTAAAAGCCCAGAATGTAAATCTAATTTTTGGTTAATTTAATTTAAAGCAGACTGTGAAGAACTTCAAAAAGATCTCACAAAACTAAGGGATTGGGCAACAAAATGGCAGATGAAATTTAAGGTGGACAAATGTAAAGTAATGCACATTGGAAAAAATAAACCCAACTATACGTACCATATGATGGGGGCTAATTTAGCTACAAGTAATCAGGAAAGAGATCTTGGAGTCATCATGGATAGTTCTCTGAAGACGTCCATGCAGTATGCAGCGGCAGTCAAAAAAGCAAACAGGATGTTAGGAATCATTAAAAAAGAGATAGAGAATAAGACGGAGAATATGTTATTGCTCTTATATAAATCCATGGTACGCCCATATCTCGAATACTGCATACAGATGTGGTCTCATCTCAAAAAAGATATACTGGCATTAGAAAAGGTTCAGAGAAGGGCAACTAAAATGATGAGGGGTTTGGAACGGGTCCCATATGAGGAGAGATTAAAGAGGCTAGGACTTTTCAGCTTGGAAAAGAGGAGACGTGGGGGGGGGGAATATGATAGAGGTATATAAAATCATGAGTGGTGTGGAGAAAGTGAATAAGGAAAAGTTATTTACTTGTTCCCATAATATAAGAACTAGGGGTCTGTGGGGTCCCATGCGGAGCGGATAAAGCACATGACCAATGTGGTTGCAAGCTGAATCCTGTTTATTACAAGCTTTCTTTTATAGTTTTTCTCAATATTACATAACACAATTAGGCTATAATCACACATCTACGGATTGGACAAGAAGGAGAATCATGTGTTTATCACCTGTATAGCCCCACACCGATTGGTTCAACCATTCCTTACATAAGGCCATGCTTTATCACCTTGTTTACCTCATCTTATATAATCCCTAGACCACCAGGGGGCCTTACATAAGGCCATGATTTATCACCTTGTTTACCTCATCTTATATAATCCCTAGACCACCAGGGGGCCTTACATAAGGCCTTGAGCCGTTGCCTGGCAAGTGTCCCATCATGACCCTTACCTCCTCATGGAACTTTCCATTAGGTTGGTGTAGGGATGATACATCCCCACAGGGGTCTCCAAATGAAATTAATGGGCAGCAGGTTTAAAACAAATAAAAGGAAGTTCTTCTTCACACAGCGCCCAGTCAACCTGTGGAACTCCTTGCCTGAGAAGGCTGTGAAGGCTAGGACTATAACAGGGTTTAAAAGAGAATTAGATAAATTCATGGAGGTTAAGTCCATTAATGGCTATTAGCCAGGATGGGTAAGGAATGGTGTCCCTAGCCTCTGTTTGTCAGAGGGTGGAGATGGATGGTAGGAGAGAGATCACTTGATCATTGCCTGTTAGGTTCACTCCTTCTGGGACACCTGGCATTGGTCACTGTCGGTAGACAGGATACTGGGCTAGATGGACCTTTGGTCTGACCCAGTATGGCCATTCTTATGTTCTTAATTATAGGATATATTCTTAAGCATTTTGCAAGCCATTCCCTTCCTTCTCTTGCTCCTCCCGTCCCCCAAAAAAGGGAATGTTATCCATTAACATTTTTTTACCCTTTAAAATAAGAATTTTGAATTCTTTTTTATATTTTACAGCTTCGTCCTCCTCAGCCTGCAGTGTACTTGTTTGTTTTAGATGTGTCTCATAATGCAGTGGAAGCTGGATACTTAACAATTGTATGTCAGTCATTGCTGGAAAACCTAGACAAGTAAGAATATACATCATCATCTTTTTGGATTGACTTTATTTTATATTTGTGAGCAGGCTGCAGTGTTAACTTATGCTGTATCTTTTACTGTAACTTTCATACAGAATTTACAGGACTTACCAATATATGGCAAATTAGATTTTGAAATGTCTGTCTGTAGTCCAGAAAAAGAATATGGCCATGTAAATTAGGACCATTTGTATAATGGCGAAGAATATCTTTTATGAATGTGATTAGAAGTGATCTGCCATGCGTTTTGTTTAGATAACCCAAGAATTATATACTGAATGTTCAAAATAGCTATGGATATTCCTTACATCAATTCTAAATTTCTAATATTTTATCTCAGGATATAAAATAACTTTTTTGGTTTGTTTTTTTCTTTCATTCAAACTTGGGAATTTTGAGCACTTGCTGTAGTTTGATAAAGCATTCTCTGCTGAAATGCCACTTTATAAGTTCCATTCAATTGGTGTTTTTATTGCTGTTTGACACAGAGAATACACATAGCAAGTATCCTACCTCTGAAGCATATGGGTTATATTATGCACATCTTACATTTTCATATTAGAGTTTAAACAAACAAATCACCACTGCACCAGTTACTGGCATTTTTCTCTAACAAAGGATGAAAATAAAAGATTGAATTTTCTGTTGGTGGCAGGGAGGACATTCTCTGGAATATTATGTTGCAAATTTTGATTAAACGGATCCAATAAAGCTATAAGGAGGGGAAAGTACAAGAAAAGAAGATAGGATGTAAGAATAAAGGGAGGAGAAAAAAGAAAAGTAAAAATAAATTTAGGTGCATTATAATACAAATGAGTTCTTGCCATCATAAATAATTTTTTCAAACAAATTTGAATCCTCTGCAGTAAACCATAAAGTAGTGTTGAAGTTTGACCTATTTAAGAGGTCTGATCTGTAATGACAACTGGAAGTTTGCATAGTTCTGCTTTTTATCATGATTGTCTCACCTGCTCAGGAAACATTGAGATCACATTCTTATTATTTTTTTTAAAAATTGTTGAGTGGCCAGCCAAGAACACACTCCTCAGTACCCAACTCTCCTTGTTACTTTCTATTTAGTAATTTCATACTGCAATGCCAAGTGAATTGCAGTAGGTAACAATGCACAGACTATTGTCCTATAGCAACGTCACATGATAAATGGAGAGAAATATTTTCTTTCTTTCCTTTTGTGAAAGTGTAGCACTGTAACAGAAGTTCTTCGTGTGATGGTCCTTATTGTATTCTATTGAGTGTGCGCACCATACATCAGAGCCAAAGAATTTGAAAGTAGTAGTGTCGATCCATGCATGTGCCCTTGCCTCGCCCAAGGTGATTAAGGGTGGAGTGGACTGACTGTGTCTCCAGTTCCTTCTCACCACCGCATAGTCGAGTGTCGATTTAGTGTGTCTGCTGAAGACACGCTAAATCGATGGGATTTGTGTACTCCACCTCCCCGAGAAGCGAAAGGGAAGTCGACGAGAGATGCTCTGCTTTTGAAACAGCGCAGTGTAGCCACTGTGGTAAGTGGATCTAACTACATCGACTTCAGTTACGTTATTCACGTAACTGAAGTTGTGTAAATTAGATTGATTTACTGCTGTAGTGTTGACCAGCCCTTAGTGTCCTCTTGTGTGACGCACCTTTTAAAAAGAGTATAATTGTATGTAGTTAGCTTTTTGTAGTCTTTGGTGTTTTACTGTTTTTACATAGTTTTTAAGCGTTTTAGTAGTTATTTAGAGTAGAATTGGGACTTTGGGGGATCTGTTTACATGTAAACACCACCACCATCCACACCTATGCATGAATACCGGACCATGCTGAAGACCTCAGGCTTTAAAATATATGCCTCCTTCCTTCTCGGCTGGCGATGAACGTCAACGCTGCCTCTACTGCTTGGGAGAAGACCACTCTACATCCAGATGCTGTATCTGCCAGTCTTTCCCAAGCCGTACCCGAGAAGGCTGGTCTCTCCGCCTCAAGAAGCACCTTGTGGAAGTTACCATGAGACATCATTCAGATCCAGGCTGGGGAAACCCCTGTACATTGGCCTGAGATAGCCAGGAGTGCACTTCCAGCTACGGAGACAAGGTCCAGCTCCAGTGGTACCACCACTATGGACCCCGAGCTGGGGCCTAGTCAGGAGGTAAGGAAGCATGCACATAAGCATGGCAGTAAGTCTTCCTCCAAAGTGAAGAAAGGGAACGCTCCTTCCACAATCTCCAGCCACGGGGTAGCAGTGTGCTCCAAGACTAAAGAAACCAAATCGATACCAGGTACCGAGCCGTGCCATCAGTGTCAGCATGCCTTAAGATACGGGACACGCCCGCTCCAGGAAAGTCTGGCACTCCAGCATCGGTTCCCACTATGGAAAGTACCATTAACACCAGGGTGTTGGGAAAGGGGCCAGAGCCTCAGGAACGCTTTGCCCTGGGAGAACCTTCTGCTACCATCAACCTGAGGGAGGCCAGATCTCCCATCCAGGACATGCTGCAGTCAAGGCACCCTTCACACATCCTCCACTGGCCTACATGCTTCCACCAGATCCAGCGGATGGAACCAGTGGTTCAGTTTTTGTCCTCTGAGGATTCAGATGAAGTGCAGGGATTGCCCATCCCTTACTGCCACTGTGAGTACCCAAAGATGCTGTCTACATTGTTGCAGTATCCTCCACTCTAAGCGGAGAGGAGTCACTGGTTCCCTACATCCTCGGGCCCATTGCAGCACCTCCGGATCCATTGTGCTAATACCCACCCTTGAAACCCGCCCATTCCGTATGGGAGACTTCATCTCTCTCCCGTCTAGAGTGCACTTGAGTAGACACTCAGTCAGTCATGAAGAACTGCTGAGTCTCGTTCCGATGGTATCGCTGGAGCCCTGAGCGTTTTCCATCATAGTCATATGTTGCTGCAGTGACTTCGGTTTCCCCCTAACCCCCAGATAACTTTGGGTAATTCCAGAAGGGTAGGGTGGTGGATGAACTTCACATCCACCTGGAGGAGGTACAAGTCACGCAACATCAACTAACTCCTGGACATCCTTCACTCATCCTGAGTAGGGCTGCTCTGCCAGTCAGCGATGCCATCCTCCAAACAGCTCGAACAGTTTGTACTGTGTTTGTACTGGCTAAGGGGTCTGAGTTACTTTTCTCACCACCACCACCCCGCCCTCGCATTCCCTTATGGTACAGGCCATGACGGAGCAGTCCAGACAGCAGCACCCATGCTTCACTCCGACTGATAAGGAGAGCAAACGGTTGGAACTTCTGGGATGCACGGTTGTCTCCTTAGTTAACCTTCAGTTCAGGATTTCAAATTATCAAGCATTGCTTGCCAAATAAGACTTCCTGAACTACAGCAAACGGGGATTTTGCTGAAAAACTGCTGCAACAAGATTGGGCCTGGTTCCAGTCAATCTTGGAGGAAGGCAAACTGGTGGCAAGGACAGCGCGTCAATCAGTTATAAACACAGCAGATACTTCATCATACTTGATGGCTATGGGCATTGTCATGAGGAGGGAATCGTGATTTCATTCCTATGTTTTCCCCAGGGAGGTACAAAATATTATTGAGGACCTCCCTTTTGATGGATCCCATCTATTTAATCAGAAAACGAATTATCCCCGCCACACATAGTTCGCTGAGTATCTACCCACCTGTGCCCAAGTGTAAATTCGACCACCTTCACAATGGTACAGGACTTCCCAGTTTTTCCACCAGAGACCTTACAAACCACCATGCAAGCACCAGAAGACCCAACAATCTCATCCTCCTGGTCCACCTTCACAGCCTTCCTCATCACACATGCAACCCTCTCAGAGAAGATATTTGAGGAACATTAGAGAGCTGCCAACCACCTCGCCTGCTGCCATACAACCACCCCACCTCTTTCAGGGGTCATGTAGCACTCTTCTTATTAGGTTGGAGTGCAGTAACAACAGACAAGTGAGCACTAAATGTCATCCACTATGACCATACAATTGAGTTCATCATGCTACCTCATCCACAGCCCCCTCCCTCCTCAGGGACCACTCCCCTGACAGCATCCTTGCCCTAGAGGTGGACTCCTTACTACCAAGAGGGATAATAGAGCGGGTTCCTCTGGACTGTGAAGGAATGGGGTTCTATTCAACTTACTTCAAAACCCAAGTTTCGTCTGGAGAAGGCATGTAGTTTACAGCTCTCGATATCCAGGACATATCACATAGACATCCATCCAGCCTCCACAGGATGGGATCAGCACCCCTTCCACGAGAGCCCAGGCTTCAACAATGGCCATCCTCCATGATGTGCCACTTTCAAGACATATGTAGAGCAGCCACGTGGAGTTCAGTACATACCTTCGCTATGCATTATGCCTGGGTGTAGGACTCTGGACGGATGTCTCATTCGGCATGGCTGTCCTCTGCTAAACTGTTCCATCCTTATCCTCGCAGCCTCCTACGACTTAAGTACTGCTTGTTAATCATCCTCAGTGGAATACAGTAGGAACCATCACTTGAAGAAGAGTAGGTTACTTACCTGTAACTGGCGGTTCCTCGAGATATGTGGTCCCTATCTGTATTCCACTTTCACCCTGCTTCCCCTCTGCTGTGGATCTGTGCGATTTGCAGTGGAGTAGGAACTGGATACACTGTTTATCACCCCATCCGAAACCATGAGGCGCAAGGGCACATGCATGGACCAACACACACTATTACTTTTGAATTCTCCATCTCACGACGCATGGTGCGCATGTGTAAACCCTCAGTGGAAAACAGATAAGGACCACACATCTCGAAGAACCTCCAGTGATAGGTAAGTAACCTCCTCTCATAACTGCCTAAAATAAGTAAATTCAGTCTGTCTTAGGTTATTCATGCTAAATGTATTTTTAACTACATTTAGAAAAATGAACTATGACACTAAGACCTTGTGTCTAGCTATACTGGCAAACTCTCCTAATGGAGATGCAGCTTCTTCCAGAAAAGAATTCTGTTGCCAGTATAGCTTAGCCCACTTCCCCAAATGGAATAAGCTATACTGGCCATCATAATTGCATCTACACTAGGGCTGTACCTGGCATACCACGTCAGTTAGAGATGTGACCTTTTCATACATCTAACTGCCACATCTATGCCAGTATACTTTCTACTGTAGACCTGGCCTAAGCAATTAGGGCCCAGTTTTGTCTCAAATACACAAGCATGGTTTCCTTTAACATAAGTGGAAGCTGCAGATGTGTATCTGAGATCTGGATTTTTGGCTTTGTCTTTTTAATTTTTTTTTTTATTATTTAACCTTAAGGCTGCCTGGAGATTCGAGAACAAGAATAGGATTCATAACATTTGACAGCACTGTTCAGTTCTACAACTTGCAGGAAGGTTTATCACAGCCTCAAATGCTGATTGTCTCAGATATTGATGGTAAGTAACAAGAAGAAAAGGAATCAAAAGTATTCAAGAGTTTTTATTTCACATTTTTAAGGACCGATTAAAATCTGCTTAAATATGATGAATATGCATAGCAGCGTATTATAGTGATCAGTTAAAATAAGTTTACTTCGAAAACAATTGACAGAACAAGGAGCAATGGTCTCAAGTTGCAGTGGGAGAGGTCTAGGTTGGATATTAGGAAACACTATTTCACTAGGAGGGTGCTGAAGCACTGGAATGCGGTGGAGTCTCCTTCCCTGGAAGTTTTTAAGGCCCAGCTTGACAAAGCCCTGGCTGGGATGATTTGGTTGGGAATTGGTCCCGCTTTGAGCAGGGGGTTGGACTAGAGGACTTCCTGAGGTCCCTTCCAACCCTGATATTCTGTGATTCTATGAAAATAAATTGCAAAATACTTGGCTCTGAAAAATGAAACTCTGATGTTAATGATACTGGCACTGATACAAAGCAGTCTTTGTATAAAATACATTTTGTATATACAACCGGGGGAAAAAACAGGGTTTATTCAATCCTTTTTTTTTTTTACAGTGCCACAGAGTTAGTATTTTGTGGTGTTTGTAATGTATTTTTATTCTTTAATGAAATTTGTATTTTTCCCTCCATAGATGTTTTCTTACCTACACCTGACAGCTTACTTGTAAATCTTCATGAAAGCAAAGAGGTATGATTGATCAAAAAAGTACCATTACATTTCATGGATAAAATAAACATTTAAAAAATACATTTATGTAGTCTGCAGTTTAAATTCCATTGATTTCAAGTCTATATCCTCTACATAATGCTTAAATCCAACATTTTAATTTTGCTGGAATTCATGATAGTATTGTAGTGTACGGTTGAAATCCTGTTTTGCTATTATTCCATTTAAAAAACTACATTTTCCATACAATATGTGTTTAAGATAAGCTGAAATATTCAGCACCAGGTGCTCATGCCATGCCAGTATAGCTTCTGAGAAATTACATCCCTATTTTGTCAATAATACCTTTCAATCTGTTTTGCAGCTGATAAAAGATTTATTGAATGCACTACCAACTATGTTCATCAATACAAGAGAAACACACAGCGCATTGGGTCCTGCACTTCAGGCTGCCTTTAAATTGATGTCTCCAACAGGTGGCCGCATATCTGTGTTTCAGTCACAGTTACCATCCTTGGGTGCAGGGCTCTTGCATTCCAGAGAAGATCCCAATCAAAGATCAAGCACAAAGGTACTATTAACTTTTTTCGATGGATCATTCATTATTATTGAAACTAAAAACTTGCAGTGTTTTTCTAATCTAGTTTTACAAGCTACCTTTTGTGTTTGTTTACTGTTGCAACTTGCTAGCTTTTAAATATCTCTTCAGCACATCTATGTTAGTCTAATAAAATTTAATTACAAACATTTTATGCACGTTTCCTCTGTCTTTGAGACAAGTGAGCAGATTGTTCCATCTTCCTTAATCCAGAGTCAAACTGATAGTCAAACAGTGCTGAAAGAATAATACCACAAGTGCTTTTTATTTTAACTGTCTCCATCAGACAGGAGCTTAGGGGGAGGGATAGCTCAGTGGTTTGAGCATTCGCCTGCTAAACCCAGGGTTGTGAGTTCAATCCTTGAGGGGTCCATTTAGGGATCTGGGGCAAAAATCTGTCTGGGGATTGGTCCTGCTTTGAGCAGGGGGTTGGACTAGATGATCTCCTGAGGTCCCTTCCAACCCTGATAGTCTATGATTTCATTTCATTTAAACCACAATGGACATCTTTGCCAAACCAGCAAGGATTCTGAAACATCAGTTCTTATCTTAATATTTTGTCACTTTATTTTAGAAATCCCACGAGTGTGCTGTAGTTTAAACAGCACATTGTTAGACCATTTATTTGTATTTGAACATATGTTTTCCTGAAAGGAAGATTATGGATGTAAACTAACAGGAGGTGCAGAGTAGAAAAAAAAATACTTTTCTGCAAAAGTTAGTAAGCAACTACAAATTATTATTATAAGAAAATACTAAATATTGTACTTTTATCTTTTATACTGTGTTTCTATGTAATAACAAATTTATTGTGCCCATGGTAGTATGCTCCCAACTTGTACTCTTTGCTGTATAATTTCTTTTACTAAAGGTTGTACAGCATCTTGGCCCAGCGACAGATTTTTACAAAAAGTTGGCACTGGACTGTTCAGGACAGCAAACGGCTGTGGATTTGTTCCTCTTAAGTTCTCAGTATTCTGACCTGGCTTCTCTAGGTAAGAAATGCTAATTTGTCTTTTTACCTGCTTCCACAATTTGTGCTTTAAACTCGCATTAAAATCAAAACTCCTTCAGGAGCCCTTAAATTGTGTACATGGGTATTTAAGCACTTCCCTAAATATGACTCTTCTGCTGTGGAGGAACTGACATGGAAACCAACAGGAAAGAACAAAGAGGGCAGGCTAGTGGTGTGAGAGTCAGCTTATATTCTGGTGCTCTGCCATTGCAGGAGATAGAAGATAGTCTTGTTATGTTCAGAGGAAAACAACTAGGGGAATGAGAGAGAGAGTAACTGAAGACAAGTTATTAATGGTCAATGTAGAACATGGAAGAAAAGTATTCTCATCTAGTTTCCTAAATGTTAAACCAAAACATGTTACTACTGCTCACCTGAAATTAGTTATGTCTACAAGAATATTGTACAGTTCAAAATGTGGCATGCAACATTAAAATGCTTTTTTACGTGTGTGTGTGTGTATATGTGTAGAGAGAGAGAGAGAGTGTGTGTGTGTGTGTGTGTGTGTAAATAGTGGCTAAAATGACTCACTGTCCCCTTCCTGGTTCTTGGCCTGAGTAAGAAGTTGGGAACTGGCAGTAACAGAGATGGATCAAATCAGGAAAATAGAATAGGGATTCCAGCAAGTTGGAACAGGCCTTACTCTGTTCAGGTGTCCTGACCTAACCAGGTGACTAGTGGTTGTAAGCCCCTTCTCCATTATAGCACCCTTTACTTGCTCTTCAAAAACCCTATGGACTAGCTACTTAAGGCTTAAATTCCAGTTTAATTTTTTTCCTTTATGTGCTAATCTGTGTTAAAATGGCAAAGGATTATATTTCTTTAAAAAACAAAACTCAGTTTAGAAGTCAATTGTATTACATCTATTCGTATATAAATATTAACCATTTCTCTTTCTCCTCAAAAGCTTGTATGTCCAAGTATTCTGCTGGATGCATCTATTATTATCCATCTTTCCATCATAGCCACAATCCTGCTCAAGCAGAAAAACTGCAAAAAGACCTTAAACGATACCTTACAAGGAAGATTGGATTTGAGGCAGTCATGAGAATAAGATGTACAAAAGGTATGGCTTACATCTTGGAATTGTTTTTACAAGACGTTTCAGATTATATATTAAGATAGGGATTGCCTACAGTAGATAATTGAGGTAAAGTGAGGCAAAATGTATTTCACTTTTTAAAAGGCTCATTTGAGAACACTGGTGTGTGAGCTGCCAGCTTTTTACTATTTTTAAATACAGTACGTACATCATTAAGCATTTGTACTTTGGCTCTCTTTAAAAACCTTAGGATAAAATATATAACCTATGCATTTTCTTGTTTTATATCAGCTAGAATAGTGGCTCACATTTAAGACCTTTTTCATGCCCTGAAAAAAAATCAGAAGGAAAATCCTGTTTGAATGCAATACCTCAGACGTGATCCGCTGTATCTACATTGCAATTTGCTAGGAAGAAACTTACAGTAGTTACTATAACTTTCTGCACAGCATACTCAAATGATAACTTTTACACATATTAGGTAATTCTACTGGAAGAACCAAAATCTTAGGCCTCAGGTTTCCCAGGTAAGAGAAGTTGTATCTGAGAAAAAAGTACAGCTTTCTTCCGGTCAATGTTTATATTATCACTAAAAAGTTGCTAAAGGTTTTGCTGTCCACCATCAGTACTATGGAAGAAGTTTCTTTAAGATAACATGATGAATTATAGATGCGATGGTTTCTCCTGGCCCATCACCGCCTTTTGCTCTGGGTTATTTGAACCAAAATAAAATCTACCTTGCATTGCATTCAGGGATTAACAGCCCCGTCCCCTTCCTCTGATGCAGCTGATGCCTTCACAATCCTTGTTGCCTATCACAAATCTTAAATAGTATTGATAACCTTGCATGAGCCTTTCACGCTGGGGTGAATTTTGCCTAAAGTGTCAATTGAATACATTTAAGATCCTCTGAATGGAGAAATTTTGCTTGCAAAAATTGGCCATTGATTCTTAATGTCACACTTGTTCATAACTTAAAAAACGAAAGGTACATTAATTTCAAGCTAGACATTTTAATCTCTTTCTAGGTATTGTATACAGTTGAATTCTCCAGCCCATATGCTGATAATTGATATGAAAAGTTCAGTTCATCCTGCTTAATCAAAAATGTGGTGGTGCACAGGATGTGCAATTAAATGTAACATTTCTGTTGTCTAACTAGGACAGGTACAGCCTTCGATAAATTAACTAACTTGTTAGTGCCATCAAAAGTTTAATTAGGGCATCGGAATCATCTACATGAGTCAAGAAGAAATTAAATCCCACTTTGCCTACCCATTACTATGCAAAGTGTCTAATATTCTGAATATATAGGTTTAAAACTGTAACCTTTAGAGACTATGAGGTTAGGCTCCTTAATTTGTCTGGAATCAGTAATGCCGTCCCAAGGCATAGCCATTTGTCTATGTTGTTAAATGAATGCAATGACTTAACTCTTCCATAATTTTTTAAGTTAGAAAAACATCAATGATGTTCTGCGGGGGCTCACTTGTTATGTAAATGAGACTCTCCACTGCCCTAATTGACCTATTTATGCATCAGTTGAGTACATTATATACTATGTCCTATAATTCAAAATGATCTGCTATATCATGGTTTATATCTGTGGAGTAGTAGTTAGAATGAAGGTTCAAAACTACTGTGTGATTCTGTAGAAATTTACAAAATGCTCAGTGAACATTTGTAACTAATGTTAAATTCCAGAGTGTTAAAATTAGGAACACTTTGATTTTATGTAATTTCTTTTACTGAATTTGGTGATGTATATCCTGATTTTGAATGATTCTCATAAGTGACTGGTTTCTAAATGCATGGTAAGTAGTTTATTGCTGTGATATACATTCCTTTCTTCTTGCTCTGCTTCAGTCAGATTTCATTACTAATTAACTGTAAATGTAGGAGAACAGCAAAACTTATACAATATTTTTGCTTACCCAGTGTAAAAAAAATATTCTAATAGTCAGTTCTGGTACTTTTTAATTCATTAATTGAGTGCTAATCTCTAATATACCTAGACCATCCCTTTTTAAAATTAAATGACGAGAGACATGGTGCACAGTTTTATAAGAATTGATTTCTTCTTTAGCTATACAGACTTGTAAGTTCAACATCTTAGCATAGTCAAAGTATTCATCAGCCTTTACGGCCAAAAATAATCTCCAGTTATTTATTTCGCTGGTGGTATTTGTCTTTGCTTGAAGTGTTAATTGTATTTATAACTCTGATTGTAATTTTCTCTGACCAAATTGGCATTACTTGTGACTTGATTCTTGTGGACACTGATCTACTATGAATTTTTTTAAATGTCTGGCAGCATCCATTTTGGTTTTGACCATCATCTTCTGTACCTTTCCATACAGTGTCACCTCTTAGGCTGAGCATCTAAAGTGGTTCTTCTGTCAGCTGTGAGCTATCTCCCTAGGAGTGGAGCTCCATCACAAATCAATTCTAGGGAGATGCTCACTCATCCACCCTCAACTTTTCCAGAAGCTTTGGCATGGCTAGGGGGAGGTGGGACAGGAATAGGGAGGGAGCATCAAAGAACCTTTAGAAAAGAAAAAACAAAAGCAAAGTGGGGATACTGCAACAAGTTATATTTTGGAGAAGGCATGTAGTAGAAAGTTAGAGCAAATGTTAATACAAAAATAAATATACAGACTTAGGTCTTGCTGCAGCATCCACTTATGTGATTAACTTCAAGCATAAGAATAGTTCCATGAGCTACTTGAAGTTAATCATTTGCGAGATTAGAGTCTAATTTTTTTCTTATAGTCCATCACTTCAGGTTTAAATGTTTGCAGTCAGGGCAGTAGTTTGTTTATAAAGAGTGTTCAAAAATGGATATAAACATGAATTTTTTGAGATTATCCTTAAGTTTCTTACCATTATATACTGTAGTTGTGCAGTCATTGATGAATTTGCATTAGTATTTAGAAAAATTAACTTTCATTACCCTTTTTGAAATAAAATTGGAGATTTTTGGTTTTTAAAAAGATCTAATTATGGAAGTTAGGTTTTTCATGTTGCTGCTATCCATATTTTAAATTATCTCATCTGCTTCTAGGTCTTTCAATACATACTTTCCATGGAAATTTTTTTGTGCGATCTACTGACTTGCTGTCACTTGCCAATGTCAATCCTGATGCTGGATTTGCAGTACAGATGTCCATCGAGGAAAGTCTAACAGATACATCTCTGGTGTGTTTTCAGACTGCTCTTTTGTATACTTCCAGCAAAGGTAACTGGAAAACAACCAACAATTTATTGCCTTATTTCTCCTCAAAATAAATCCAGCTGATATTTTTGAAGCAGCAGTATTTATTTCTATACTTAATTCTGTGACCTCTTAGGAATCTTCCCTTCCATTATTTCTTGATTTCTCTTTCTTGTCTTGTTGCAATTTATTTTCTGTTTTAAGGCAGTTCATCTTGCACTGAAATAAATGCTCTTGCTAGTTAATGACTCATGCAGAGGCCAATTGGTCATGTTCTTAATTGAACCATCAAATTGAGTACAGATTTCTTTCTTGCTCATGACAGTGCATGAGCTTACTACCAGGGCTGGCACCAGCGAAGGAGGCAGGTGCCTGGGGTGGCCTATAGAAAGGGGCGGCACATCCGGGTCTGCGGCGGCACTTTGGTGTCGGTCCTTCACTCCCTCTTCGGTGGCACTTCGGAGGCCGCTCAATTGGGTTTTCCTTTGCCGCTTGGGGCAGCAAAAAAGCTGGAGCCGGCCCTGACCAAGACAGCCTAATTAATACTTTTTACATTTTTATGCTAAGCTTGAAATGTCTTAATAGATCTGTACTCATATAGGAACCAATCCTGCAAAGTCTCACACACATGCTTAACTTTATGCACTTCAACTCCCTGTTGAAGTCAGTGGTACTACGTCAGCATGTACAGTTAAGCACACATGTAAGTCTTTCCAGGATCAGGGGCTGTAAACTTTGTTGCAAATTAGAATTTTTTTTCCACATTTAATCTAATCCAGGTAAAACAAAACTTAATCTCAGGAAGTGAAAATTAATTTACAATTATATTATTATTATTTATCACCAGTAATGTGCTTGTCACTGTATAGTTCACCAAGAGCTGAATACTGGCATTTTTACTCTGTGAATAGGCCCATTGAAGTCAGTTGAGCTTCTTGTGGAATTGGGTACTAAATTTGAGTACAGGTGGCAGAATCTGGCCCAAATATAGTCCCTGCCACAAAGACCATATGGTTTAAAAGACAGATATAGAGAAAATAAGTTGCTCCTTCCTCTGGAGTGTGTCCTAAATCTCTTCTTCAGGAGCCTCTGTATATTACCATTGATGAGATCCAAAGGACCGGTGTGAATGTAAATTGCTTGTGAAGACCTAAAGAGCAAAGTTTTCTGAAGGTTCCAAAACCTTGTGGTGCAGGTGTCTTGGATTCCAGGAGTGGGAATATACATAGGCATCTCTGGAAGATCTAGTTTATAAACCAAAGTTATTTACCAGAAATTGTTATGAACTCAACTTGGACATTGCATTATGAAAGTAAGTTTTCTACGGAGGATTTAAATGTAAAGAGGGTGGTAGTTTTATGAAGTCGGATTAGGAGATTTCATGCATAATAGACAGCATGTAAAAGATTTCATAGATGGGATGGGAGAAAGAACAATTGTGGGCATCAGGACTGATGTCACCAGTGGAGCAAAGGAGTCTGGGATGAGAGAAGGAATGCAGTAAACAATATCAGTTGCCTCTTTCCTATCTATGGATATTGCATTATTAATTTATTCATCATTTTGGTATAGGTGAACGGAGAATTCGAGTGCATACACTTTGCTTGCCCGTAGTCACTTCACTGGCTGATGTTTATGCAGGAGCAGATGTACAAGCAGCTGTCTGCCTCTTAGCAAACATGGGTGAGTATGGTAATAGGTGATCAAATATGTAATTGGCCAGGTTTGCAAAGGCCCCTTATGCTCAACTTGATGGCACATCTGTGTTTGTTCATGTGTAACACAATAACTTTTGAATGCTGCATCTGATCAATTCTCATATTCTAGGGAATGTTCTAGGCATCAGTAGCCAGAACCATGTTGATTTTGGGAGAAAAGGACGACGCATGGAGCCCTTGCCATCTGTTTAGCACAGCTAGAGCTTCAAACACCTCTGCAATTTTCTGTAGATCAAACTGGTTGATAGTAACCCTAACATCTTCCTGCATAACAGTATTCTGATCTCATCTCTGTCCATCTTCCCAAAAGAGTTCAGTATGTTGACACTCTAAATGACTTATATCCCGAACAAATAATAAGTGGGGGGAGGAACAAGCATGGATGGAATGGGGGTGTGCACATATCCCCTGGCATGATGGAGGGGAATTGGGGTGGACCCGGTTATGGGGTGATGAGGGAGGGCACAGAGCCCTTAGCATCGGGGGAATGGTGGGAATAGGGGCAGAATAGGAGACCTTGGTCAAGGGCTGAAGGGAATGGGGTGCACATAGAACGTCTGGCGGGGGGAATGCTTGTTTGTGGTGAGTGGGTGAGAAAGAGGGAAATTGGGGCTTACACAGAGCTGCAGCCATTGCAGGAGAATGGAGGACCTTGGAGTGGGGGCAATAGGGAGTACATGAGCCCCTGTCCTGGGGTGAGAATACGGACCCTGGTATATAAGGAGGGGGTGCACAGAACCCCTGGCAGAGGGGAGATTGGGTGGATTTCCAGGGAGTCCCTGAAGGGAGGGGATGGGAGGATGGCAACAGAGCTAGTGGATGGAATGTAGTTTACAGAAGCTACAAAGTGTGCAACACCCTAGCATATTACATAAAATACTACATTAAAATGTCGGTTAAGAATTGCCAGATTTATGTATTCCCGCACAACCTTAATTTGGCCCAGTGTACATCCAAACTGTGCACTGAGTGAGGCAGGGATGCTTGAGGAAGAAATAGTATGAGATCATAATGCATACATACCAGAGAACCAAATTAAGGATGCCTAGCTAGCTATACATCTGACATGTCCTTATTTTTGAGTCCTTGAGCAAAATGTTCTTTTAATGTAGCTTCCTAGTGTTTTTCAAGGACAAAGGTAAAAACCAATTTTGTTATGTATGTTTTGTACGGCGGTAATATTGTCGTCATCATCAGGGCTTATACCGTGAACCTTTAGCATTGCTGCTTGACTTACAGATTAACTACGTGAGCTGACAGCAGAAGAAGGCTGTTCTCCCAATGGGGGGTTGGTTACTGGGTCTATATGCTGGGTCCAGAGGGCAGTAAGGAGCAGCCCAATTTGGTATTCTCTTCCTTATCTGTGGAAGTGGGAGGCTCTTGCCCATGTGGTACCCCAGGAGCAGGGTTAGGGGGAGACTGACTTGGCTCTTCCTCCCCTTGGCAACTGAGGGAGCTCTGGCTTTGTATGGTGCCCTGTGGGGCTGGGCCCGTATGCTGGGTCCAAGAAAAGAGGAGGAGTTTTCACTGTAGGAAGCCCAGCCTGGTTCTCTCTCCCTCTTCCACCACATCTGCACTGGCAGCTCCCAGGCATTCCCAGGAGAGTGTCTGCTGCTGCTGTTTTGATGGTGGCATGGGCAAGCGCCATTAGAATGTTCAGTGACTTTGGTAGGCTGCACACATTTTTCCTGAGGAATGAAAGTGAGAATCTCTTCCCATTTACTTCATTTGGAGTTGTGGGTCTTCAGTGTTTCTGAAAATCAGGCCCTAGCCTTTAATGATATGTATATTATAGTTATGTTATAGTTTTATTATTGTTACATAATGTATTGTAGATTTATTATGGTGTCTTCACTTTGCCAGGGTGATGTTGGATAACTAATTCTTTCTGGCTTATGTTCACCTTCCTGCTATTTCTCTCTGTATGTCTGTCTGTATGTAACATAACTATTTAGTCACTTCCAAAATGTCAGGGAATGTTCTAGGCATCAGTGGGTAGAACCTTATTGGTGAAAATTGGAAAAAACTTGATTCAGAGAAAAACTGTGGCCCCCAGATTGCCTTGTGTAGCAGACTGATGGTGATCTCTGGTGCCCGGAGATCTCTGGTGCTGCTGTCCATAGATATCAGTGGCAGCAGCATAACTTGCTGTCTGGGGAGATTGACTGTATCCTGGAGTCTAGGCTAGTGTCACGTCTATACTACGGACTTCTGTTAGTCTATAGTTCTGTTGGTCAGGAGTGCAAATAAGTGTGCAGCAGAAGCCCCTAGTGTGGACACAGCTATACCAGCAAAACTGCACTTTTACCAGTATAGCTTTTTTTATTCCTTTCAGGGAGTGACTTTATTATACTGGTATAAAGCTGGTATAGCTGCGTCCACCCTAGGTGTGTTTTGCCAGTATAGCGTACTGGTATTCCTATATGGGTGAAGGGTTGCTATTGTAGACCTAGTCTAACAGAAATGAGAGCCCTAGAGAGAGGGCTTTTGTGTGGCATGCTGAACGGAAAGTGGGGATCCAGAGAGGGAGGCAGAAGCAGCTGGAAGGATGAAGTGATGATGGGGGAAGCAGGGATCCAGAAAGGGGTGGGGAGTGGAGGAGGGAGCCCAGCTTCAGTTTCTGAAGTGTGAAGAACAAGGGAGCTCTTAGTGCAAGGGCTGGGGAGGTATCCGTAAGCCCCATAACTCCCTCTCTGCTTCCCTCCAGTTCTCATGGTCCCTCACTATACCAAATTGCTGAAGGCATCCCATGCTGCTGTCTACACATTGCAGGCAGCAGCTTCATATGCTGCTCTCTCTCACTGCGGGGTGTATAGCTTGGCCTACAGAAGAAACAAAGTGTGACCCTGTAGTATAGAGGTAGTCAGTTATTTTTTTTGTCGAGGTCCACATTTCTTGTCAAGGTCCAGACTCCAGGGAAAATCATTTAAAAAAATAACAATAGTAGTAAGTAAATAGATTTTGGGGTCTGTTCAAAAGTGTGTGGCAGTTCAGATTTGGCCACAGTCTGCCTATTGCAGGGGTCAGCAACCTATGGCACGCATGCCAAAGGCAGCATGTGAGCTGATTTTCAGTGGCACTCTGCTGCTGGCTTGGGGTTCCATCTGTAAATGTCTTTGTTTTTTGCAGTGCACTGTGCAGTCTTGTAACTTCCTTCTGTAGCTTTGGCTGTCAGACCTGGTCTAATTTCAGTTGCTGATGACTTATGACATGCAGGAGACGAGGCTAAATAAGCTGGTGGTCCTGTCTGACCCTGGACTCTCTGGCTTATCTGGCCCCCATCCATGCAGTAGCTGAGCAATTCACTATTTTTAAGATATTTACCCTCCCAGCAGCCATGTGGGGCAGGGCAGTTGTTCCCATTGTACAGAGGGAAAACTAAGGCACAAAGGAGACATCCACACTGTGATAAAAAAAAACTCACTGCACCAAGTCTCAGCCTGAGTCAGCTGACTGAGGCTTGCAGGGCTAACATTAGCAATGTAGATGCTGCGAGACCTTTTCTGGGATCTCAGAGCCTGAGCATCTACATCACTCTTTTCAGTCCTGCGAGCTAGAGCCAGCTGCTGGCCATTTATAGCAGCGCAGACATATCTAAACAGGCTGAGTGACTTGCCCAAGGTCACACAGGAACCCTGTAGCAGAGGAAGGCAGGGGCAGTGAGTTGTATGGGCCCATGGTGCCCGGGCTCCAGGAATATTCAGGGCCTGGGGGCCCAGCTCCACCAGTGTTCAGAGAGGTTAACAACTGATCACTCAGAAGCCTATGTGCAGCTTAAAGTATCCAAATACGTGCCAGACATTGGAAAACTCAGCAAGGAAAAGCAAGGGCAAGGATCACACTAAACTGATAAGATCTGCATTTTAATTTAATTTTAAATGAAGCTTCTTAAACATTTTAAAAACCTTATTTACTTTACATACAACAATATATATATAATATAGACTTAGAGAGAGAGAGACCTTCTAAAAACGTTAAAATGTATTACTGGCATGTGAAACCTTAAATTACAGTGAATAAATGAAGACTTGGCACACCACTTCTGAAAGGTTGCTGACCCCAGGTCTATTGACTACCCTGCTGTAGTATGTACTGTGTTTCATACTAATGGTCTACTAAACAAATTGTATTGGGAGAAGCTAATAGCATTTCACTTTTATAGATGCTAAATTCACATTCGGTCTGTAGATGGCTTCCTACAACCAAAACATATTTACGGCCCTGGCATTGCAATCAAGGAAAAGTTTAACTGTAGCTGCTTCAGGAAAACAGATCAACATTTCTCTTACTACAAAAGCAGACCTCCCAACAGTCCCAGGTTTTGCCTTGACCTACAAAACTCCCTGTTCTGTGGGCTAACTAGACTCCGCTCCCTACTCCAGGCATTGCGATCTGCTTCTCCCTCCTATTCCCCCTAATCCTCCCTCACAGCCCCTCCCGTCCCTGTTCTCCAGTTTGTGCCTCTGTCTGGCTTTTTCTGGCACAGCTGGGCTGCTTTGGCATTTTAAGTGTAGACAGGCCCTTAGGAGGCTAAGGGCTCTGAGTCATAAGGATCCTAAAACTCTTTCTAGTTGTATAATTTGATGTTTAGAATTATGAAAGATTTCTGAGTACAAAACGTCACTAAAAATTGAAACCTGTAATATGCAGTAAATGGGAATATCGAGGAACATTTGAAGTGCAGATAGCCTTTAAAAATAAACAGAAAAGATAAACATTTCTCAGATTTCTAGTTCAAAGACATTTGGTCCAAAATGCAGAGGATAAAGGGAGAAGCTTCTGCTGAAGTTGGCATTAGTCACTTTTTAAAGTAGAATGAGACCTACGATGGCAGTCTTCCAAAGCATGAAACTTAATGTATGGTTTATTAGAAAACAGTTGTCATGCCTTTGTTTTTGACAAACATCTTCATTTTTTCCTTTCACCCAGAAGCAATGACCATCAGCTGTTTGCCACTTGCTTACCATTGTCATTTAGCACAGTGTGTTCTTTTTTTTCTATTGACTGCTTCTGAATCAATATTCTTTTCTTATCACAATGTCAAAGCTGGCACATAACGGGGGAATAATTGCTCTGTTTAGGGTGACCAGACAGCAAGTGGGAAAAATCGGGACAGGGGGTGGGGGTAATAGGCTTCTATATAAGAAAAAGCCTCAAATATTGGGACTGTCCCTATAAAATCAGGACATCTGGTCACCATAGCTCTGTTCTTAATTATTCTCTATTTCCCCAATAAGATTCAGCAATTAAGGCTTTTATTTATTTGTCTACTTTTAATTCTGCAGCTGTGGATCGGTCAGTTTCATCAAGTCTTTCAGATGCAAGAGATGCCTTAGTGAATGCTGTGGTAGATTCACTGTCAGCATATATCTCAACTGCCTCAAACCTGCAGCAATCCTCACTGATAGCACCAAATTCCCTCAGACTGTTTCCTTTATATGTTTTGGCTCTTCTCAAACAGGTACTTTATAATATAGTGTTGTTCGTGTTGGGCATCAAATACAAAGCAATGTTTTTCTTTAAGTCTTCAGCTTTAATGCAGGCTGTAAACATTGATTCATAGTCTAGCTTCTTTCCCCTTTTGATGCAGACCCTTTTGTTAAATTATTGTGAGCTATCCACTCTATTTTTGGAGAAAGTATCCTTGTACATAAATTGTTGAAGAGTTCATTTGCATGAAAAAGATGTAACTAATGATATGTCATCAGTTCCTGACTAAAATTTTCAGGGATCTGTGGCCGCAACCGCGTTATATGCAAATTCGTGCTATATAGACGCGTGTTCTAGCGAGGGTCCGGTGAACTTCATATCAATTTTGTTTACACTTTCATTTCATAAGAAAAATTAGAAAATCAATGTTGTAACCATTAACATTTCTAAAATTTGGGATTGAATCAGTCTTGGTTGAAATTCTGTCTAGAAGCAATTTATTTCTTTTTTCTCAATTTCAAGCAAATAAACTAAATACTCTCAAACATGTGTGACCAATACCTGAGACCTCTAAAGAGAAATGGGTAACATCAGATGTCAGTCTCGCTTGTGATTAAATGAGAAACTGATGATGAAAGTTAACACTATGTATTTGTTAAGTGGGGTTTCACGTCAAAGAAATGCTTAATATAGCACTAGGTTTACAAACACTTTAAAATGTTTACTTTTGAAAGTTTTTCATTTTAAAACAAAAGCAAAATCTTATTTAAAGGGTGGAGGTAGAAAGAGCACTTTCCTCGGGCCCTGATCCCAACAACAGATCTTGGCTTAAGATGAGAGATGTTCATATTTAAAGCTTGCATAGTCTGTACAACATTTTCCAAACAAAAGGTGTCTCTCTAAAATTAAAATTAAATAGTAAAGTGGAATTTCTTCAAATCAGAGGCTCATAAACTTTTATCTCCTTTGAGGCTCACAGATAGCCCAGGACCAACATAGGACAGTTGTGACGAACTGGGACTGTTCTTACTGTGGTCTGTGAATGCTGAGTGGGGAGTGTTGGCCTGGGAAGGTCGCAGGGTAGTGTGGCTAGGATAGTCTGCATTGGGGGATGGGAGATTGCCCGAAGGAGAATACCTGAGCATGTAATATGAGAAC